GATACAAAGAGCAGCTGAAACTGCTGCATTTTTATACAATTACACTCAGCTGTCTTTTTCCCCCACAGTGACAAAAAAGTGGAAAATCTGCCTGTAAATCATGGAGAGATTTATATAAATCCTTATGTGTGACTTTGAAGAAAATAAAATGTTTCTTAGTACGGCAGTAAGTACTCAGACCATTCAAACTTTTTTGTGGCCATTTATTTCTATGTTGGATTCTAGATATGAGTGTAGATGATATGGTGCTACCTCATTAAAGACCTATTACAACATGAAATTATGTATCCAGTATTAGTGCTGGTATTTGTCCACCCTCAGCTCAGTCTGCTTCTCCGCCTGCGCCCTCCCTAGGACCTGTTTCCCAGTGAGCTGCCCTTGGCAGAAATTAAGATTCCTTATATGCATAAATATTCTACATGAAAGTTAAAATGAAGTGCCATTTTTATTGGCAGAGGAACTAAGGAAGGATGAAATAGCCTTGCTGGTAGCAGGTGTCTCACCTACGACTTTCTGGGGATTCCCGCAGGTTCACTGTGGATGGAAAACTCTTGAGTGTGATTTGGCTTTTGTGGATCTAGCATGGCCCCACAGGTGATCACGTGACTACATCGATCACCGAACATCCTATTAGATCTCTGCTTCCTTAAAGGTCTTTAAGCCCTTTCCTTCCGATGCTCCATCTCCTGCCGCCTGCCAGTCTGGAGCTCCTGCTCCTTCTCACACCCAATCCTAGCTGTGTCTCCTCCTTTAAATGTTTTCTTGCTTCACTCAGTGCTTGCCAGCAGGCCCCTCATCTGGGCACAGCATGAAGAAGGCGGGCGACCACCAGAAGCCCAGCTCTGAGCCCCTGGCCTGGGAGGCCGGCTGCCCCCATCGAACGGTTCCTGTCGTTGGCCGGCTGCACACCGCGACTCCCCGGCCCCACTGGGCGGTGGCGTGGCCTCAGCCATGCCCGCGTGCCCTGTCAGAGCTGAGCGGAGCACTTGGCCCGCAGCTAGCCCAACCTGGCCCGCACAAGGCTGGTTTCTCTAAGGCAGGGGTTCCACTGTAGCCTAGATTGATCTCAAACTTCCGATCCAGCACAGGGTCTGGGATCTGCGGGGCTGCGGGCAGGGGTCGCCGCTCAGGACTACTGGGCCCTGGCCCACAAGGACGACAAGGCCGATTCGGACACCAGCTGCCACAGCACGCCATCCCTGGAGCGGCCCAAGCCTCGGCTGCAGGCCGATCACC